ATATGGCGAAATCAAGATAAGACGAGTATCAAGAAGAATATCTATACTGAAGTCTATTTCTCTCTCAGGACGAACTCCGGGAAGATCAACTGGAAAGACTTCTGGAAACTCACTTACTACTGAAACTGACTAAATAGGTAGTGTCTCAACACTAGAGTCATAAACTCGGACTAAGTGATAGATGCAACCCTTGGAAACTAACTTTCTCGCCTTAAGGTATGAAATAAAATGATCCTTAGGTACTGCTAAACTACTCCTCCACTCTATAACTGGCTCATTAGGAAACTGGAACTTAACTACTCGAGTTCTACAATCAACTGGGGCATAACAAGCATGAAGCCAGTCCATACCTAGAATAACATCAAAATATACCATGTCTAACTCGACTAGGTCAGCCATGGTGTCCTTGTGATTGTCGGAAATGGTACAATCACGATAAACTCTCTCAGCTAAAATAGACTCACCAACAGGTGTAGAAACATTGAAAGGCTCAAAAAGTTTCTCGGGAAGAATATCAAAATTCATAGCAATATAAGGAGTCGCAAAGGATAGACTCGCTCCTGGATCTAGCAAGGCATATACATCAAAATTAAAGACTTTGATCATACCAGTGACAACATCTGGATAATTCTCTTTCTCTTAGCGACTGGTGATTGCATACAAATGGTTTGCTCCTCCACCAGTCCCTGAAGTAGCTCTTCTAGGTGCAACTCTGTCTGGTGGAGCCACTGAAGAAGATTGGGTTTTATTTCCCCCATTACCACCGCCCTGCCTGTTCTTAGGGCACTCTTTCATGAAGTGACCATTCTGACCACACTTGAAGCAACCAGTGGAGCCATCAAGACACACTTCTGAATGGGTCCTACCACACTTAGGACATGCGGGAGTCCAATTACCTTCTTGTGCCACACTACCTTGAGACTGTGCAGGTCTAGCTCTGAAATTCTGCGAATTTAGATTCTTGAACTCACCTCTGTTCCTTGGTGTAGGTGTACTAGAAGATGATGGAGCAGGTCCATTTTGCTTATGTTGAAAGAAGACCAGTTTGCATTACTTTTCTGCTGTCTGGACTCATTTCCTGTCGTCTTAGCTTTCTTGTTCTGGAACTCTTTCCTATCTCTTAGCTTATCTTCCTCAACCTACTGCACATGGATCATAGGTCTTGCTATGTCCATATCTCCTATCAGCATAGCTTCCTTGCCCTCCTTACTTGATAGACGAGACAACCCAACAACAAACAGACTCATCCTGCTTCTCATGTCAACAACCATCTTCGAGGCATAACGAGACAGTTGGGTGAACTTAAGGCTGTACTCATGTACGCTTATGGATTCCTACTTAAGAGTAAGAAACTCCCTTACCTTGGCCTCTCTCAGTTCACCGAAAAAGAAACACCCCAAGAAGGCCTCCTCAAACACAACCCAGCTCACAATCGGTGCCTCTCAACTCTATTCTTTTTCTATTGGTCAAACCAGATCCTAGCAACACCCTTCAATTGGTATGCAACTAGTTTTACTAGCTCAGCAGAAGCAACATACATAACCTCAAAAACCTTCTGAAGCTCTTCCCCATAGTTTTCCGGATCCTCAGTGATACTTGAATCGGTGAAGTTAGGAGGATTCATCCTTAAGAACTCACAGATCCTTGACGTATTAGCAACATTCTATCACATCTCTCTCTGTTTCCCAACTTGGGTTGGTCACAACTTGGCTCAACATCCGGATAGCTTCCCGGAACTCAACATTAGTGACCTCTCCTTGGGGTTACACTTCTGGTGCATTGGGGACCCCTTGATCCTGAGGATCAACATTTTTCCTAGCAGGACGACCTTAGAAAGCTCTTCGTGGAGGCATGATCTGAAAGATATGCGTAAGCATGAATTAGAGAGAAACTTTATAGAGATGCACTCTATCGTACAAAAAAGTATGAAAGAAGTGAGATAGTTCCCAAATGTCGCAGCCTTCTAATTATAGATGTGGCACGCTTCATACCAATAATTAGGACTCTAAGGACACGACTTCATAGACACCCTAGGAATCTTGAACTATGTGCTCTGATACCAAGTTTGTCACGCCCCAAGCCTACACCCTGGATGCTACTGGCACTCAAGAAACATTTTTGGCTCCAAGAGAACCCTTGGCTTGGCTTAACTCTTAGCGGAAGACTTACTCAACATAGAATAAACTCAAATGACAGCTTTAACTCAGAAAGGTCTCAAATCAGACAACTTAGAATAGTTTAGAAATAAACATTCACTAGCCAAAGAGGCAACTCAAGTCTCAACATAAACAACTGAAAATGAAAAGACTCATGAACTAATGTCTATCTATCTATGAAGCCTCTATTGAAAAGACCCACGACATCCTAATAACAAAAAGAAATGACTGAAAGTAAACAAAGGATCCTCCGAAAGCATAGAGGCTCATCAATAACTCTGAAGCTCAACTGGATCAACGAAGCGCTGAATGCTGATCCTGGTTTCTGTATTGCATCATAAAAGATGCAGGCCAAATGGCGTCAGTACATGGAATGTACGAGCATGTGAGAGGAAATCTAAACATGACATGAGCTTGAAGAAGAACTGAAGAAACAACTTACCTCGTCTCAACTCAACTCAACTCATTTCAATATAAAGCAGTGATAAATATGCAATATAAAGAAAAGCTTTTATAACAGTAGACAATAACTCAATGTATTAGAAAATACAATATAAATTAGTTTGTATACAAAAAATACAAGTAGCTCTGTGGGAGATTCTCTAATCGACAACCATCACTATGAGCTATGTGATGATACATCGTCTAGGCCACGTTGCCAAAACTGTCCCATACTTTGTCAGGGTATAGGACCTACTACTAAGTGGATCCACTAGTCTATGCTAAAAACGTTAAGGAATCATCTAAAAAGTATGACCCTTTCTACCCACATTGGCTACATGGTTTATGGAGACTTTGAGTTATCTAAACTCGTCCCCATATCGGTGCTCAACACTACTCCCAAAATGTAACTAGCTCATATGTTTAAAAACATAACTCTTTCTGTGGTTTGAGATTATTACTCAAAATCTCTCTCTTAAAGAGATGGTACTGAAAACTGCTCATGAAAACTCTTTTGGAAATCTGTGTTTCCACTCATCTTAAATGTGAAAACATTTACTCTTGAGAATATTTAGTTCCCATCTATCTTTTTAAAGAAAATAAACTCAACTCTACTCTTTCTTAACTCAAGTGCTCAAGTCTTAAAACAAGTTTACAAAGGTTTGCAAAAGTCTTCTTAAAAGACTCGAAGAAATTCTCAAAACTTTACTCTTAGCTCTTCCTTGAATTTGAATTATTAATTGAAGGTTATGATTCATGTTATGAATGATTTTCTCGATGTTTAGAAGTAGTTTAGAGTGTTTAGAATCAATAGGGATTGAAGGAACACTTTAAAGGAACTCAGACGGGTTAGACAACTGAAGACATGACGGGGAAGGCGACCCTGACGCACTAGTTGGCGTTGGGAGCCAGCCCCTGAACTACTGAAGTGTAGTTGGGGCACACTGGCTGGCGCAGCCTTTGCCTAGATCCTTTTCCGATGAATTTTCTTCTCATTTTATGACCCTAATTCGCCTAGAATCGAATGGTTTCTTTCCCAATCACTTAGATTCGAATATCCAACCAAATTACACTAAAATCTTCTAAAAAAATCTCTTAAAATATGCAAACTTTTCTCAAGAACTCATCAAAACCCATCCCAATTCAAGAACGGAAACAATACTTGAAGAAACATATCATGAATTCAAACTCTTCAACTTCAAGAACGAAATCTTGCTAAAAATAACATGATTGATATGTGGGTGAATGAACCCAATACTATGAGAACTCACATACCTCTTAGGGATCAAACCCTTGGCGAAACAACCTTCGATTCGCAAGCAAACTTGAAGAACGTCTTGAACTTTCTCCTCTTTTCTCTTCTTGAACTTTCTTTTAAAATCCTAAGCGTAATTAGGATTGTGAACTTAGGATTGTGAAAACTGAACCAATACAGTTTATACCCCTAAATATTACTAAAATTCGCTTAAATCAGATTAGGTAAGGAAAAGACCAAAATACCCCTCTTAAATTAGGGTAACTTTCCTTAACTGGACAACCCAACTTCAATCAACCATATCTCCCTCATACGAGCTCGAAATTTAGCAAACTCGGTGGTGTTGGAAAGAGGGTTCCAAGAACTTTCATTTGATATCTTATGGGCCACCTAAATCATCTTGTACTGAATGTTATGGTCGTTTGAAGTTGACCCAAACTCATAACTTAAGCATAACTTGAAAATTTTCAGATTTAGCAGCTTATTTCCAATTTAGTTCTTTCTATTTTTAGCTCTTTCAAATACCGAGGTGTTACATGAGTTCTAGTACTAAACATGATGAATGTTTAGCGCATGCCAGATCAGATTTACATGGAAAAGGTATGGGCTCACATGAACCCATGAACCCCTCCCTAGACTATGTAAAATTCTCGTGAACATATGCAACCCTTCTTAGATTATGTAAAGTACTAGTGAACCTATGCATTCTTCCCTAGATTATGTGAAGTACTGAAATTATTTTGATAAATTACATAAATTTTATGTGGGAACTCAGACTAAAATTCGAAATATCATCTCCAAAAAAGTTTATGTTTGAATCTTTAGCAACATTTTTACAAACAAAGTTTACAATTTTTCTCAATATTTCTATGATCTTTTTTTTTGTCTTTCTACTATTATTTTCTTTGATTTGAGGCGTGTTTCCTTAAATAATGAACTATTTAAATCATTTTAAAATATAAAAATTTGTTATTTTTTCTGTGATGGCAATATTAATTATAGTTTACTTGTGAAGTCGTTGTCTTGGCAAAAATTTATAGCATTAAATCTAACGATAGTATAGTGACCCTAATGAATTGATTATGAAGGTGACTCTTAGCTACATCAACACTCAAATTCCTAAATCGTTATTGCCCAGGTTTCGATGATCAACCCCTGACACATTTTGGTTGTTTCATAGCGGACCAAGATATGGGATTTGGTCCCAAGACGAGCATATGACCCGATGTTGAGATTCTATCACTGGGATCACCTGCCCAGTCAGCATCATCATACATATACAAATTCCAATCAGCATGATGACGAATTTCCAAGCACGATGTTGTTGTTGATTTGAGGTAGCGCAGAACCCTTTTTACAGCCTTCCAATGTTCCAGACTTGGAGAATGCATAAATTGGGATAATTTGTTTACTGCAAATGAGATGTCAGGACGCGTGAATGATAAGTATTGCAGCTTACCCAGAGTGCGTCGATAGAGGGTTTCATCGGCGGGGGGTGAACCATCATCTGCTTTAGGTGGCGAGCTGGAGCACATCGGTGTGGCAACCCCTTTGCAATCTGTCATATCCACATCAGATAGAATCTCAAGAATATATTGAGATTGAGATAGGATGATCCCATTTGGAACACGCTTAACTTCTATTCCCAAGAAATAATTAAGTTCACCAAGATTCTTTAGTGAGAACCTGCTAGCCAAAGAGTTGATGACCTGCGCAACTAAGTTTGGATGGTTCCCAGTAATGAGAATATCATCCACATATACTAAAATGTAAACAGTAACAGCCAGGGATTTAAAAATGAACAGTGAGGCATCTGATTCGGACTTAACAAATCCAATAGTATTCAAATAAGCCGTGAGGGCCTCATACCAGGCGCGCGGGGCTTGTTTTAGGCCATAAATGGCCTTTTTAAGGCTGCATACATGATCTGGAAAATCAGAATTGACATAGCCTTTTGGCTGAGCCATGAATACCTCCTCTTGTAAGTTACC